GAGGGGAGGGAGGATGGGGAGGAAGGAAAGAGGGGAGGGAGGATGGGCAGGAAGGAAGGGGAGGAAGGAGATGGGGAGGAAGGAAGAAGAGGAGGAAGGAGATGGGGAGGAAGGAAGAAGAGGAGGAAGGAGATGGGGAGGAAGGAAGAAGAGGAGGAAGGAGATGGGGAGGAAGGGGGAAGGGAGGATGGGGAGGAAGGAAGGGGAGGAGGGAGGATGGGGAGGAAGGAAGGGGAGGAAGGAGATGGGGAGGAAGGAAGAAGAGGAGGAAGGGAGGATGGGGAGGAAGGAAGGGGAGGAGACGAGGATAGAGAGGAAGGAAGGGGAGGAAGAAGATGGGGAGGAAGGAAGGGGAGGAGGGAGGATGGGGAGGGAGGAAGGGGAGGAGAGGAGGGAAGGAGAAAAAGAGGGGAAAGGTGGAGAGGGAAACTAGAAAGGAAGGGGGAGTGAGGAAGCTAGAAAGGAAAGAAGGGAGGGAGGGAGGGAGGGAGGGAGAGAAGGAAGGAGGGAGGGAGGGAGGAAAAAAAAGAAAATTTCTAAATGTCCAAATCAGTCACCCATCTTTGGCTGGTGAAATGGCCTGTCAAGACCAACAACCTGAGTTCAATCCCAGGACCCACATAATGGAAGGAAAGAGTGATTTCTGCAAGTTGTCTACTGACCTCCACGTACACTCTGTGGCACACGTGTAAGTACACACACACACACACACACACACACACACACACACACACACACACACACGTAAATGAAATAAAAATTTAGAAAACAGCAATTCATCTTATTTCCTACAAAACACGTCCAACTTAGATTCTACTCTCAAAGACAAAGCTCTTCTGTGGGAATTTATCTACCTTCGTCCTGTTTATTTAACTCAGACTGTCAGAGGATGGTTGGGCCTGCAGTTTGAACCACATGTTTCTGTCAGAGAAAGAGGCGAGATCTCATCTCCCAGAGAACCGGATATGAAATAAGAAGCAGAGACCACAGACAAATGAGGTGTCCCTGTTCATTCTTCCTGAGTCTGGATTTGCTAAATTAGGTGCAGCTTATGTTCGTATGCCTCAGCTTCCAGAGTTATTCTAGCATCCCTGCGTAGCCTGGCGCGGCAGGTCGGCATCCCTCCCCAATACTGCCCGCCAATCACCAGAGGGGCTGACCTACCTTTCTTTGATTGACATGGTTTTGCTGGGTGAATCCAGGAGAGCCTCGCCCCCTGGCACTTTGACCTCTCCGGCAGCGAACATGGCACAGGGGCTCTTGAAGAGCTTCTCCGCCAGTTGCTCAGAGGGATCCTGCTGCTTCCAGGACCCTGAGGTTGCTGTCTGCAGAGAGGCTTTCCCAGCAGCTGGCTCTGTCTGCTCAGAAGCAGGTTCCCCAAACTCCGCTGCTGGAGAGAACGAGAGTGGAGTCAGCACTACTCCGTCAGCAAGCATCTTTCCGGCTCCCCATGGCCCCACAGTGCAGCACCCGAGTCAGGCTGCGGGCGCATGGCAGGCTACCTAGGCCAGTGGGGATTATGCAGACCTGCAGCACAGCTCACCAAGACAGACAGCTAGCCTGTGCCATCTGTGTCCCACAGTGGAACTGATCTATCTGATCAGTACAGTACATCTTCATTTCTAGAGAGCTGCACTCACAACCCAAGCCCATCCCAGCGTACATGCTATCAGTGTGTGTGAATGGAAGCTGCCGGGTCTCTTATGCAGACAGCGCACTGATTCCCATGGTCAGGATGCATGCAGAGTCTGGAAAGCACACTGGTTCGAGTCCTTATTTCCTGGGCTGACTGGGTGCAAGATTTTTGTGCCATCAACTTCATAAAAGGGCCAACACAGCTAAGGAGCTCAGAAGGCTACTGTGTGAGTTAATGTCACCGAAGTTACCTGAAACCCTTATCAAGGGCTGCTAAGAACTGCAGCCAATTTGCTGCTGTAGGCTCTATCAGTCCACTGACTGTGTCAGATTCGAGGGGAAGAGACATCTGGGGAAAGGGGTATGACTCACTGAACTTGGATCCATTCTAGTGATAAACTCTCTGGATATAATTAACAAGAGCCACCATGAACACGTGCAGCAAGTCCGTCTGACCGCAGAGCCCTTAGGGAGCCAGGAAGCTGCAGGATCTTACCTTTGAGTGAGAACTTTCTCATGACATTCTCCACATCGACGTTCTCCTCCGAGGTCTGCTTCTCCTTCCGGTCCAGATTCTCTTGCAAACTGCTTTTAGCAGTGGAAAATTCCTTTAGCTCCTCACCAGGGTGGGTGACAGGAGGATGACCTAGCTCTAAGCTTCCCCTCCTCAGAATGGCATGCTTAGGCTCCTTCTGGCCGTCACCCTCTCTGACTCTGCCAAGGACGGGGTAGGAGGACTCGGCTTCGTCCTCGAAGGCTCTGTATGTTTGAATGCCGCTGTCTCCCGCAGTCGGAGCTTTCTTGCTTTCTGTCTCTCCACACTCCCCCAGCATTCCTTTGCTCCCACTGTGTTCTGCCAAAGGCTGCCAGGCCTGTGGTTTCAGAATGCTTCTCACTGGAGAGTCTGAGTTTTCCATGGGAGAAGGAAACTTGTGGTCGGTGGGACTTGCACTGTCAACAGACGGCTTCGCCCGGAGGTCCCCTGCGTATGTGGGGGCGACTGCAGAGGCCATGGTAGAGACAGATGTGTTCACAGTGGGGGTGAAGGAGATGAGCTTCCCACTCTGCACCTGGGAGGACACAGGTTAGGGACACCGTCATCTGAGGGGACTGGCAGTGGGGGGGGGGGCATAAGACACCTGCAGCAGAGCTTCCTGGCTCATCGTCCTGGAAAACCAGCCTGCAAACCAGCCTGCATGGTCACACACCCCAAATACATCACAAACAAGCCTTCTGGGGAAGCAGCTTGCCTCTGCTCTTAGAGCCTATCCAAATGGACTCATTCCAAGCAAATTATGAAAACGACAGAAGAAAAGCCAACTTGGGTATGGTTCCTCCTTAGGGATGAGAAGGGGAAGAAGACAGATACAAGTCCACCTGTTGACCCTGTCCTATCACGAACCCAAAAGCAGTGCTGTGCTGCTGTATTCAAAGAAACCACACACACACACACACACACACACACACACACACACACACACACACACACCACATTCCTACACTGGAGTTAGATCTCACACACTCACCTGCTCCACCTCTCCAAGCGTGACCGGCTGAGTCTGATACCTTGCGTTCATCCTTCTCTGCCGCACGTCTATTCTGTTTCGGGTGGAAATGGCTTTGGAGACTGGCTGGGACAATTTGTTAAACAAGGCCAATTTCTCTGCTAAGCTCAGAGTGGAGGAATCAGGTTCACCTGGTTCGGCAGACTCTCTGCCCTCATTTGCCTGGTCCCTGGCTAAAGCCTTTTGGTGAGCAGACGCTTGTAACCTAGAGGGAAGGCAGGAAAAGTCAGTAATATAGAGAAAAACAAACGAAAGCCCACTGCCCATTCACATGTTAACTGTCTTAAAGATGTCGCTTATTTAGTAAGGGGCTGAATTCCCTACATGGATTCGGGAGGGGGCAGGCAATGTTTAGTGGGTAAACAAAGCAGTGAGTGGCAGGGTCAGTTTGGGACACCAGCACCGACAATTCTAGGACAGGCAGACTTTTAGCTCTGAATCATTTCTATAAAGGAAATGAAGGAACCAATGTCAGCCTGGATCTAGCTTCCTACAGAGAAAATCAAATCCCAGATGGTTCCAATCACAGGGACTAAAGGTGAAGGCAGAAAATCGTTACCCAGGTCAAACATCCTCTATAGATGCTGCTCGGGAGGTGATATCTTCATTTTGAATAGTTAGGAACAATATGGTCTCCCGACAATGACATTCTGCAAAGCAGGTTTTTGTTTGTTAAACATGGGGCTTTTTAAATATACTTCTGTGCCAGGTTTCTACCAATTTTCAGAAGTTACTTATATGTAATTCTCAGTAACTTGAGAGATGAAGAAAATTTCAGGTTATTAAACATCCCCCGATTCCTGACTGGGATTACAGAGGCAGAACAGTGGTGGGAGAGATCCTGCTTAGCATGTGCAAAGCCTGGGGTTTGATGCTCAGCCCCACAAAATAATAACAAGAGTAATAACAACAGCTTCCACTGCTAGGAGAGGAGGCTTCCAGCCCAGGAGGTCAATGAGATTCTCAAAAGGTCTCCAAGACCATATTGCCTCTGTCCTGGGAATGCTGCTCTAATGAGAAGGATATTCAGCCTTCTTTATTAATCACTTATTAATTCAGCCTCTTATTAATCACTGGTCCCCAGGGGTCATAGACCCAAGGTCAGTCTCTGTGTCCAGATACATCATGAGAAGGGTGAGTGAGCAAGGCCGCCTGAGGACTGGAGCCTTCCAGGGGTCGGAGAGAACAAACTGGGAGGGGAGGTGGTGTGTGTGTGTGTGTGTGTGTGTGTGCGTGTGTGCAAAATGTCTCTCTCAAGACAGCCCTGCTTCTGGATCAGGCAGTGTATTCCAGCTCGGTCATTTCATGTCTCTGAGCCTTATGTTTAGCTCATCACAGTTAAGACAAAGGGGGACGGGCGGTGGTGGCACACGCCTTTAATCCCAGCACTCGGGAGGCAGAGCCAGGTGGATCTCTGTGAGTTCGAGGCCAGCCTGGTCTACAGAGCGAGATC